CCCCACCTTGCTCATCTGCCCCAGCCTGCTGCCCTTCACCATAAAGCTGATTCCTCAGAAGCTGAGATTAGTGTTTCTGTAGCACTTTTGACAATCAGGTAGCCAAAGCCTGTATCTACAATATAGAAACAGTTGGATATTTCTGCTTTCAAAGTACTGAACTGTATTACACATTAGGCATCTATTGTATTTTTAAGACTCATATTAAATGTTTTTCAACTTGCAGGCTGTTATAAAAAGTTTACCAATGAATCACAATGCCGGAAATTCCCCTTCTATGTTTAAAATACTGTAAAGCTTTGCATTTAACCAACACTACACAATATGACTAAGTTAAAAAAATGATGACCATTAACTGCTTATTAATTTCAGCAGAAGCCTCCAATGTATCTGTACGACTGTGAGGCAAAATGGGTAAAAAGATTGGCTCTTTTTATTCATAATAAAACTTTAAATTTGAAAATTAAGTATCTTTTGAGGATCCAATGTAAGTTCAGAGCTAGACTTTCTAGGTATACTTTCTGATATCACCAAGTAGGATGTTAACAAGGGCAAACTAAGCTGAAAATTCCACAATGACTTGCACACGATACTGACCTGTACCTCTGAAAATCTCCATGCCGCAAGCCGTGCTGCTGCTGGGATTCCTTAATAATCTGAAGAACTAGCGCCACGGTTAAGGAAAAGCTTACAATGGCAAGAACCCAAATAGATCAAAACATGTCCCCATTAGTCTGTATTTGTAGCAAACCACAGCAGATTACACATTTCTGAAATGCTTTAGCTAGTGAAACCATTTTCAATAGCTGTCTTGCCAGAGGACAGGGCTAAGGGCATAGAAAAGCTGATTGCCTTCACTATTTCTCCTTTCACACTAAAAAAGGCGGCCATTGCTAGCCATTACGGATTACTGAACCCCAACAGCGTCAGGAAGGCTGCTGGATTCTAAGTGCTGACTGTGAGTGGGCTGGTTCCCACTGATTTACACCTGGACCCCGTCATGCCCGCGTTCCAGCAGGTTCAGGCCGGAAGTGACGTGTATCCCTCCCCATTGGCATCGCCTCCTCCACCTGCCAAACCGAACTTTCCTCACCAGCTGTGATGCTGCACGCGCCTCGGATTAGCACCTGCCAACCAAACCAGGCCCCCGTTTGCATAGAGAGACTGAAGTTTTTATTTTAAAAGAACAAACCCTGGCCAAACTCTCCTTTTTAAGAATCGTAAAATAGTTTAAGGTCGTGTACCCAACTTTAGAAAAGTCCAATGCCCTTTATCTACAACTTTAGTTTTCTTTCCCCAGTTTCCTCAACGCTTCTCTATGGCTGTATTTTTTTTTTAAATACTAAAAATTAAAAGGAGTATTTTAATAACCAAAAAGGGACGGGGAGGTACAAGGTCCGGAGTAAAATCAAGGAGTCCTAACACCCATCCGGAATTACACCTCCAGTTCAAAAACTCCAACCCCCGGAAAACGTAACTGTGTCCAGACGTCAAGCTCCTTGTGTTATTTCAGAGACGCCGCTACCTGCTTCGCGCTTGTTACTTCGTTTCAAAAAGCTACACGCTGGTGTCACCAGCACTCAGGTGCGATCACGCGCGATGCAGACTGGAAACCAACTCCTCCGGCGCGTCTGCACGTGACAGAAAACGCCCACCGACCTATTAAGAAAGCTTCGCCGCGATGGCTCGCGTTCACAACAGGCCACACGCTTTCCCTCGGAGCATCAAGCTTTAAGCTTTGCCTTCGCACCCAGGACATCAAGCTGCGATGCCTACTCCCCATTCCCCGCCCGCCCGCCGCCCGATCGACACGTAGTCATTCCCCGTCGGGCCCGATTACTCCAGGATACTCTCCAAGCTCAGGCTGTCCCCGAACTCCTTGTTGGCCTTCGATCCGGCCGAAGGGCGCTCGTTTTCCTTATTTTCTTCTCCCCCGGCACCGCGTCCACCGCCGCTACTGCCGCTGCCGCCGCCGCCGCCGCCACCGGGAACCTGTTTCTCAGCAGCCATCTTGCCCCAGTGCCGCAGAGCAGGACGGGATAGAGGAGGCGAGACGACCGCGGCGGGAGAGAGCGGCCCTGCCAGGCAGAGGCTGATGGGATAGCGGCGGACTCCCCTCGCCCTCCCGGCCCTCGGGAGGCAGCCACTTGTTGCAGGGCCTCTGGGGTGGGCTCGGATGAGTCTTTACAATATGATGCTCACTGAGAGAAGCCACGCAAAAGGCTGTCTATTGTAGAGGTCCATTTACATGCAATGTCCAGAATAGGCAATTCTATAGAGACAGAAAGTAGTGGTGGCCTCCGGCTGAGAGTGGGAGTGGAGATTGGAGACTAATGGCGAAAAGGGTAGAGGTTTTTGCGGGGAGGAAAGAAAATGTTCCAAAATGGATTGTGGCGGTTGTACGATTCTGGATGTAATTAAAACAAACAAAGACTTTAAATGGGTAAATTGCATGGTCTGTGAAATATATTTCAATAAAAAAATATTTTAAAGTCAGATTGGTTTAGTCAAAACTTTCCAGTGGCTCCTCATTTTTCTCAGACTAGAGCTACAAGCAACCGTCCTTACAATGGAAACAGCCCTGCATGCTATGCCTCTTACGTCCTCTCCCGCCAATCTCCTTCCAGTCCATTCAGTACAGTCACACCAGCCTCCTTGCTTAGGGGCCCAGGCCAGAGCCTGCTGCAGGGCCGGCACTGGCTGTCCATCCGGAATGCTCTTCTCCTAGACATCTACTGATCTAGCTCCCTCACTTTGTTCAAGTCTTTTTATATATATATAGATTTTATTTTATTTTATTTTATTTTACTGATTTCAGAGGAAGGAAGAGGGAGAGAGAGATAGAAACATCATTGATGGGAGACAATCATCGATCAGCTGCCTCCTGCATGCTCCACACTGGGGATTGAGCCCGCAACCTGGGCATGTGCCCTGACTGGGAATTGCACCGTGACCTCCTGATTCATAGGACCACGCTCAACCACTGAGCCACCTGGGCTTTACTCGTTCAAATCTTTACTCAAATGTCACCTTCCTAATGAGGTCTGCCTGATCACTCCATTTTAGATTGCACCATTACCACTACCCCTGTACTCCCAAATTCTCTTACCCTAATCTACTTTGCCTGCAAATACTTATCAACTTGGACTACATTAATAATTGGTTTGAGTTATGTTGTGTATTGTGCATCTCCCCTGCTAGAAAGGATGCTCACGGAGGGCTTTGGTCTTTGCAGAACTCACTGGTAGATCCCAAGGACCCAGAACAGTGCCAGGAGTGGAGTACTAGTAGGTGCTTAATAAATACTGAATAAATGAATGACAAGCATCTCATAAACACAAACTGTTATTATTTTCTTATTCAATCAAAAGGCAGGCAGGGCAGGGGTGTGAATAAGGATTTCCTACCCACTGGAACAGGTAGCTGGGTTCCTGAGGCTGAGATCCTGGGGGCTGGAGGGAAGAGGGAAAAGAATGGTCTTGACTGAGAGCCAATGAACAGGGCAGGGGAAGGTGAAGCAGAGATCAAGCTACAGAGGTGGGAGGTGGTGCTTTTCACACCCAGAGAAGCGGGGGGGAGGGGGGGCTAAATTCTATAGAAACAGTAATAGCTCCATGTCACAAATGCTTGATGACTAATATGTCAAAATTAAAAACAAACATCTAAGTTTTATTGCAACTTAAACGCCCTCCTAGCCATCTAGGCAAAGGCTGCAGGTGCATGGAATTCTGCTACTTTATATATTTATTTAAATATATTTTTATTGATTTCTGAGAGAAAGGGAGAGGGAGAGATGGAGAAACATCATTGATGAGAAAGAATCATTGAATGCTGCCTCTTGGCATGCCCCCCACTGGGGATCAGCCGCTGCAACCCAGGCATGTGCCTTGACCAGGAATGGAACTGTGACCTCCTGGTTCATAGGTTGATGCTCAACCCCTGAGCCATACGGGCCAGCTCTGCTACTTTATATTGAAGTTTTCCCTGTTTGGATACCTGACTAGCGTCAGAAGAAAGAGAAGAATTTGATTCATTCAGATTCAACCACTGGCTTCGGGCCTCTCATTCTCACCAGAGCCCTCTGCGAAGGTGTTATGTTCCCATTTTACAGCTGAGGACATTGAGGTATCACGCCAAGGACAGAGGCTGACACACAGGAGATGCTCAGTAAATACTGTTTTTGGATTGAAGTGGAGGGAGAAACGTTCAATAAGCAGATCCCTCATCCCCACCGAGGCTCTCTGGGGTCTCTGAGCTCTCGGGTGAGGGTCGGTGGGAAGAGGCGTGGAGTACCCCGCAGGGCAGTCCCACTCGCCAACTCCGGAAACCCGGGGGGCCCCCATCTGCCTCGCCCCTTGTCATCTCCCCACC